CAGGGGTGCCAGTGATGGACCTGTTTGAGACGATCAGCCACATCAACACGCAGACGGTGGTGGAGCTGATTGACGGATTCAGGGAGCATAGGCCGCAGAAGCAGATCAACAGAATCATCGAGACAATCACGACGTACATGCCACCAGCGTACAGCGAGGAGATAACGACGTACATCGTGGACAGGGCAGCAGATGCAGCAGGGGTGCCATCGCCAAATGGGCAGATTGTGCACAAGGAGGCAGTTGGAAGGACAGCGACAGTCACAGGGCCAAATGGAGAGAAGCAGACAGTCACAGGGGAGCCAGGAACAAGTCGGATTGTACAGAAAGTGAGGACAGATGGAGTACCAACAGTCACAGCACCATCATCAGAGCCAACACCACAGTTCAATGCAACCAATCCAAGGATAATGGAGCCACAGCCATTCACACCAAATCCAAACATAAACAGGAAACCAGGAGGAAGTGGTGGTAGTGGTAGTAGTGGTAACAATGGTAGTAGTAGTCCACTAGGGGGAAATGGTAACACTAGTCCACTAGGGGGAAATGGTAACACTAGTCCACTAGGAGGAAATAATCAAACAGGTGGAAATGGTAACAATCCACTAGGCGGAAATACTGGAAACACTGGAAACAATCAAACAGGTGGTAATCCACTAGGAGGATACAGTCCACTAGGCGGTAACAATTCCAATTCCAATTCCAACCCAACTGGATCAAACGGTGGAAACAGTTCCAATTCCAATCCAAATACAACCACTAACAATGACAACGACAACGACAATGCTGGAAGTGGTGAAATCCCACTCAACTACCTAGCACCATGATACAAAACACTCAATAAATCACTAATATAGATCAGTATAAAAGTATCCTATTTTACACCCATCTAGGATGCTATTCATCATTGGAACTGGACTGAATAACGCACGTGATCTATCACTGAATGGACTGGATCGGCTGAAGAAGTGCGACAAGATCTATTTGGAGTGCTACACGTGCATCCAAAGGAGTGGATCAGACGAGTTGGAGAAGTTGATAGGCAAAGAAGTCATCAGGGCCAACAGGAGAATGGTGGAGGAGACCTCTGAAATAGTGGACGAGGCCAAGTCAAAGAGTGTCGCATTTCTGGTTGCTGGATCACCCCTCTT